CTCGACGCTGAGGAGTATTACACGGACGCCTTGATCAACGGCATCTGTATAGATGGCTTGATCAGGCCATGTGAGGCTCCTCACAACCCTAACATAATGAAACCCACCGCCAAATACTGCAGCAGATGCTGCCAAAGCGGCCACGAAATTTCCGAGTGTCGGACGCGACAGACAACTTGCCCTAATTGCGGTAGCGGCGAGCACAAAAGCGCCGACTGTCCCAATCTTAAAAACCCTAAGTGTCCAAATTGCAAGGGAACACACCCAGCATGGTCACCTAGATGCCCCAAAAGGCAGAAGACACCTTCCTCGCATCAAGAGGCAAAACCTCTTACCACTGAGAGAAGGATTCCTCCTGCGACACTCACAGCAGACGTTAGGTTGTGGATTCAATTCACGACCACGCTGCTGATGAACATCCTGCGAGATAGGAGAGAGACCATAGCAAGGTACTCGTCCGACCTGTCGGGTAAGATGTTTGGGCACTCTATAGTGCCCACTTCCAGAAACAATAAGGTCGAAATGACCTTCGTCCCCATCCAGTAAGTCGCTACATTCAACTGTGTAATAGGTACGGTCAACTGTTCGGGGGTCTACCGAAAGAGAGCACTAATAAAACACTTACTTTTTTCCCAAAACATACAAATCCTCTCTTTCACCGACACCCGACTTAAAAGCCCCCTAATTTCGCAGGATACACCTCACACCATTTAAATAAAAGCCACGCCAGTCATGGTAACGGTCTATTAATACACCATTCTATACCCTCTACACCTCACACTCCTCCTCCCCATATATTAGGCCAGCTCCATGACACCGACTTCCTGGCAGTTGACATTCACCTACAAGACAACACCAAGATCACGATAATATCCTACTACAAACATCCAAACGCACCCCTTTCCCTACCACTTGTCGAGTATTTTTCCACACTAGACAAGGCGGTTTTAATGGGCGATCTAAACAGCAGGCACACTCAATTTGGTGATACAACCTCAAATATTCCAGTCAGACAGCTCTCAGACCTTCTTCTAGAGCTGCCAATCTCCAGAATCACCAATCGAGAGGTCACGTTCTTCAATCACTAAGGAATGTCCATAGTCGATCATATCTTATGCACGGTTAACCTGCTTGATAGGATGGATGATGAATGTTTCATTGGTGATTCCATAACCTCTGACCATCTTCCTCTTCTAGTCAACACTGACTTCAATTCTTTACCCTAAGCAAGACCTGCCATCTATAGGATAAATTATCGTAGAGCAAATTGGGATCTTTTCCAAGAACACGTCAATCAAAACCTCCCTGAGTTAGGCATCATGTCAACACATAACCAAGTTGACACAGGAATCTCCAAAGTTGAGAAACTTCTTCAAGAAGCCTCAGCCCTGGCTATTCCGAAAACAAGATACAATCCATATACTCCAACACTTCCGCCGCAAATCATCGCGCAAATCAAATCCAAACGTAGACTACTCAGAGAGTATAAAAGATTCAGAGACCCCCTCATCAAAACAGAATACAATAGACTCTCGGCGATCATAAGACTCAAGGTGAACAAGCAGAAACAAAGACAGTGGATGCGAGTCACCTCGGACCTTGACTACCGGGATGGCTCTGCATTCTGGAACAAACTCAAAGTCCTAACAAGACAAGAAAGTCAGCCACGATCTCATCTCAAAATCAACAACGCCATACTAAACAATCCACAAGATAAGGCCGAAGCTTTCAAAAACACACTTCAGGCCACCCTCCTTTCACCCAATAATCCCAACTTTAGTGAAAGATCCAAAAGAGCCACCGAACGGAGAGTGGAAGATATATTCTACTACCCTCAGCCACTTGACGGACCACATCCTCACCAGATGATGGCGCCAGTGACTGAGGAAACCGTCAGTCTGATGTGTAAAATAGAAAAAAACACGTCTCCTGGCCCAGATGGCATCCATCGAAGATGCCTCAAAAATCTTCCACAGAATATTATCCCGTTGCTCACCAATATAATCAATGTATCTCTTGCGATGAGCTGGCTACTTTCCTATTCCTTGGAAAGTGGCCAGCACCGTGATGGTCCCTAAAAAAGGGAAAACCCTCACCAATCCTGAATCGTATAGACCAATTTCGTTACTGAGCACCCTAGGTAAAGTCTACGAGAGGATCGTCAAGGAGAGACTCGTAGAATTCCTAGACGCTCACTTCCTCATTCCAAATTACCAATTCGGATTCAGGGCGGGACACTCCACACAAAATGCATTGGTAGAAGCAACAAATTTCATTTCTCAATCCATTAACGAAAGGAAGCACGTCGTAGGCATATTCCTTGATGTCCAGAAGGCTTTCGATCAGGTCTGGCACGCAGGCTTGATCGAGAAACTCCACCTTGCTGAACTGCCAACATCTTTCGTTAAACTAATAAATTCCTATCTCTCTCACCGGACGGTTCGGATCAAAATAGGAGAGCATCTCTCCACTCCATTCACTCCTCAAGCAGGAGTGCCCCAAGGCTCAATACTTGCTCCAATATTATACTTAGTTTACAATAGCGACATCCCCCGCCCACAGCAAGGATCAGAGTCTCTTCTCCTATTCGCTGATGATACAGCCATTCTTACCTCAGGCTCCTACAGGAAAGGAGAGCGACGGTCTGTATTCGAGAAATCGCAAGATTATCTTGATAGAGTCGTGAGGTGGTGCAACAAATGGAGGGTTACTTTAAACCCCTCCAAAACACAAGCAATCTTATTTAGACCCCCGTACGGATGCGGCCTTCAGGGCAGGGTGACACTTTTGGGAGAGGACCTTATTCTCAGAAACTCAGTTCTCTACTTGGGAGTTCGTTTTACGAGAACTCTCAATTGGAAGGCTGACGTCCAAGATTCCCTTGACAGGATGAGAAAAAGGCTCAACCTCCTGAAAGTGTTGGCTGGTAAACTAGGAGGAACGTCCACTAACATTGTTGCACACCTACAAGACTTTCATCAGACCGATAATCGAATACAAGGCATGCGTTTACCTCTACCTGAGGAACCACGAACTCAATGCCATCACCGCCACAGAGCGTAGAATATTACGCTTCTGCATGAGAAAAGATTGGTTGTATCCATCGGCCCACATATATGCAATAACTAACATCACGCCTATCAAGGACAGAATCCTAACCCTCAGTAGGAAGTATGTCTTAAGAACTATAGCTGGCTCGAACAACCGAGCAAAATAAACATTGAAGACACCTTGTTCACGTAGAGGGCAAATACTCACCAGGCATCCCGCTAAAAAAGTTCCATTCCCTCCAGCTAAACTTCTACATAACGCTGGACCTGAACTTCCTGAGAGTATTTTGATATTTTAGAATCTCTCCCCATCTACTATCGCAGATAAACTGCGCACCAAAAAACGCTGATAAAGAGCCGTTCCTACTGTATGGCTGGTAACCCTTAAGTACCTCACTGCATGCTAGGCAAACCCACTTCTTCTTGTGCGTTCACGATTCTTATCGATCACAAAATAAGCCACCTTCTTTTCCCCTTCTTTCCTTGGCAGTTCTCTGCTTCTTAGGCCGCGTTTCGTTCAGTTGACGTTTTTCTCGTAACCCCCACAACTCCGTCAAAAAAAAGGAGTTCCCCGTTCCTTGAAGAGACGTAAGCCTAAACAAGGTTAAAACTCGAGGTTAGTTAGTTTTGACCAATGCATTTCAACTTGAAGCAGAGTGTAATCCAGATAATATACATATGCTAATAATTTTCTTAATATATGTTATTTATTTCAAAACCGTGACTATTACTCTGGGATGCATAAATATTTGTAAAATATAGAATGCCCTCAATTACTTTTTTTATCAAAAAAGAGTAAAAAAACTTCAATATATGACTTACTTGCATAGTTGGCTTTTATATTCTCTAAATATCAATCAGACTGATGTTAAATTACTAATAAGCACGAATGAGTATCTGTTGTTACAACTGGAGGCAAATTTATATTTGCTGTTTTTGCCTGGTTTTTTCTTTGGACGTTTTATCTGTGGTTTAGAGGAATATTATAATCAAAACCGTTAGAATTCGCAATCACTTGTATTTCATATGTACCTGCAATATCCGATTTTATTGATTCTTCACAAATAATATTATTATCAATGTCATCTACATCAGAAACTTTCTAGTTCAATTTCGGCGGCACATAAACCACACTAAGTGAGTCAGCATTTTGACAATCTGAGTCTTCTTCTAACAAATCTATTTAGTAGTTAGTGTCATCTTTATTTCATATTTCCAGAATTTGCTAAAATAAACAAATGCACTACTATATAAACGCATTCACATCATAATAGTTTAGCTTACTTCATTTTAATTTATATGAACTTCATAATATATTTTTATATTTATATAAACAAATAAACATCAAGGAAAGTTTCAAATTAAGTAAAAAAAAAAACAAATACAACGTTTACAGCACACAGCAATTCTATAAATTGAGAATGATGTGTAATGACGAAAAAAATAAGTATTTTCCGTTTTTTTGTTTTTTGAAGTTCTATATTAGGTTCTCTCTACTAAGAATAAAATTTTACTTTATTTTAGACAACTATAAGATACCTGTTCAGAGACACATGATAATTTAATAATTATATCGGTCTTAGATTTAATTTTTACGTAAATACTTGTATGTTTAAATACATAATTAAATTTTTTTGGTAAGCCTCTGCAAAATTGATAAGTGCACTTAATTTGCACTACGAAATAAAACATGTACGATAAAAAGTGAACAATTTTTTTATTGCTTACAAGAAATTTGAGTTTTGTCTATCGATAACACTTATTTTGGATAAATTATATAAGTTTAATAAGCCCTTTAAGTTTATCTATAAGTTGATAATTGTGCCAAATAGATTTTAACGTAATAAATAATTTTAATTTATTATTTACTGCGAAATATTTTAATTTAAAATATTTGTTTTGAGTCCGACTCTGTAGCACTATCTTACAAGATTTTCAATATCAAATTATTATACCTCGTTTATAAAGATCTGTAAATATTTAAATCAATATTAAAGAGTGATTTAGTTTTTCTTATACCCCAACATAGTAACAATGAAACTTGGGATTTTTATTGTTGTCACAATACTAGATTATGTTTGTGGTGCTCGTATATTATGCGTTTTCCAAGTGCCAGCCGTTAGCCATCAAAGAGTGTTCCAGCCTATTTGGAGAGAGTTATCTTTACGAGGGCACGAAGTAGTTGTTGTAACACCTAAACCCCTTAAAGACTCATCATTAATAAATTTAACTGAGATTGATGTTAGCGCAGCACATAGTGAACTTATCAAACGACATGGTTTTCAGTTTTTCATGAAAAAGGAATATGCTGTTCATACAAAAATACCAAAGTTATTTGCGATGCTTTACGAATCTGCAGAGGTAGTATTAAAGAATGAACAGTTTGTGAAAATTTATAATAACTCTAATCAAAAGTTTGATGTTGTGATTACTCAAACGTTTATTTCACCCATACTTTATAGTATTGCTGCAAAATTTAATGCACCGTTAATAGGAGTTTCTTCTTTGGGAGCATACATAGGTGAGTATATTAACTTCTCATTTAACATACAGCAGCTTCCTTAATTTTTCTCTTTTTACCATCTGTTTCTTAAATATACTTGAATCGTTCCGTTAAATCCTATGTTTATTTCCCAGGCCTGTTTACATATTTGAGATCTATCAAATTCTTTATTTTTAATATAAGATTGATGTTCACTTATTCTAACATTTAATGTCTTGAAGTTTTATCTAAATAAAAATAATCGCATTTACAAGATATTTGATAAATGCAATTCTTTGTTATTTCTTGTTTACTGTTAGGTTTAGTTTTAGATAAAGTAGATCTCATTGTGTTTGATGTTTTGAAGGTTGTTGAAAGGTTGAATTTATTTCATTCCGTTTTTTGATAATCCTTTTATATACGGTATTGTTATTTTCCTCCTATTATTTCTTGTCTATACTGTAGGATCTCGTATAGTAATTGTTTTAATATCTGTAGCGTTTTTAAATAAAACGAGCGGTTCGAATTTATATAAATATATTTATTTATAAGTTTACAGTTTGGTAATATCTTAACAACTAAACTAACTCATAACATCGTTACATATATATACCAAAAAGTATTATTCTCGAATCTTCTGGGGCAGTCCTACCTCTAATTCGTTGTTTGACAACTGGATTTCTACAGAGCTCGATACATCGCGAAAGTTCTCGATGGCTTTTCGATATGAAACCGTTACATAGGCGATGCCGAAAGCATGTTCGAAATACTGCTTTCCTCTTAGATCTGAGCGTCCCGATCAGCAACTATATATGTAGGCCCAGAATGGCGGAATTTACAGGCCTCTTCAGCTCTGCATGACCCCCTCAAGAAAAAATAACAGTCTACTGACTGTGAAGGACACGATCTCTTTGGGTTAATGCAACACACAGTAATTTTTACGCCGGTTTCTCGGAAGATCACTTCAAGCATGCTTCTAACAATCTTCCAATCCAGATTATCTAGTGCATGGCCTATTTTGGGTAAGGCCAAACTCTTGATGTCATAATTGCACACGATTTTCTTCAAATTAGTTAGAGCACGCCATATATCCTCGTAGCTTGCCCTGTTTGTATACGACTTCCTGGTCACCATATACAGCAAAGATCGAGGACCATCTTCTAATCTCAGTACTTTTCCAACTTTAAGCTGCTGATTTTTTAACTCGTCTAAACGACCGAACTTCTTATAAAATACAGATGAGATTCCTCAAGTCATCTCAAGATCTTGGGAAACACAGTGGGCTAGAGAGACGTTATGCGGAACACTAAAAAGATCCTGCTGAACTTCTGCCGTCACGCCGAATCTAGCACTCTTTCTCTCTGTGTAACTTGACATAAATTTATTAAAGCTTGGTCGCCGGTCACCTTTGATCTCATGTTGAAGGGTTCATGCTTCTTCTATTTCATTTGAGCCAGCATAAGGTGCAAGACGATTTATGTGAACTACTTTTGGTTTACCTGTAGGCAACTTCTTAATACGGTATATTACGTCATTTTTTCTCTTTTTAATTTTATACGGACCCTCCAATTGTCTTTGCAGTTTAGGAAACAAGCCACGATGACGTTGTGGATTATAAAGCCAAACAAAATCACCTACTCGAGAATCATATTGATATTTCATTCTGCCACTGGCTAACTAGATGTGTTTTCGGGCAAGTTTATGAATGTTGTTCATTCTTAACTTGAGGCGGTCGACATAATCTTCGCCTGCAACATGTTCTTCGGAAGGTCTGTAGCCAAACTCTAGGTCGCAGGGCAAACGAACCTCACGGCCTAACATCAGGCAGGTTGGAGTCTGGCCTGTAGTTTCATTCACGGCCGAGCGGTATATCAATAAGAATAAATGAATATGCTGGACCCAATCTCTTTGATGTTTTGATACAACTTTGGACAGGTGTTTAACCATCATTCGGTTCATCCTCTCGACCATTCCATCTGATTGAGGATGCAGAGGTGTCGTTCTGGTCTTATTGACACCAATCAATTTACAAACGTTTTGGAAAAGGTTGGACTCGAAGTTTCGCCCTTGGTCGTAGTGAATCTCCAAAGGAACACCAAATCGGCTAAAGAATTCTTTAACCAGTACCTCTGCAATGGTAGCAGCTTCTTGATTTGGTATCTCATAGGTCTCAGTCCATTTTGTAAAATATTCCGACCCTATTCTGACCATTAAAAGCTGCACAGCCAATACTGATTATCTTTACTAAATAACCTAGACTACTTTACAAAACTATACTACACCAAACAAATTTATAATTTTAATTAGATACATTTTAGCTTCAAAACTTTATATTTCTGTATTTTGTCCTTAAATTTTAATAAACCTCTTCATTTTTAACACGTTTACCTAGATACTCTCTTGTGAACTTGTTAGCTAACTTCCCGTTTTGGATTTGCTTCCAAAAACTAATATCGATCTATCGGCCTAAAAAATTCCTATCTCCTCTTGGATACTCAATTCTCCTAGACTGAGCTTCTCCCAAAGCAATGACAATTTATTGGTACTTACAAATACTGTTAACATTAACTTCTGCACTGCTACCATTCAGCATACAGACTGAGGAATAGGAAATTCGGCGACAGGTTTTAGTTTGTTTTGATTAGGTGTAGCACCATTGTTTGTGATGAGATCTCCTAAATACATGACTTCTTTTTATAATAATTCGCATTTGTCTGGTTGGATTTTCTGATTATGAGAAGATATACGCTTGAAAACTTTAACTAAGAGTTTGCTGTGATTTTTGAGACTATCAGCAAAAATATACGATATTATTAAGATCTTTTTCGTCACCTGCCATATCAGAGTTACCTGTCCTGCATTTGATTGGTTAGTCCACTCACAAATGTTTTTTGCCTTAAACGATTAGCTGTTATATTCTATATTGATTTCCCCTCACTATATGTCCCAAATAAGACAATTCCGGTGTTTATCAGTCTTTAGGAATTCTCTATCTTTCTTGACCCTACTTAGTACTTCCTCATTAGTTTTTCTTGCTTTCTTGGGTATCTTCAGCATCCGTCTATGTATCTACATTTTAAATGCTTCAATTTTATTTATACTTGATACTTTTAGTGTCCACACTTCTACATAATACAAAAGTACAGACCAAATATAGCACTTAACCATTCTTTGTCTTAATTCTAAATAGACATGATTATTGCAAAGAAATGTCTTTATTTTCATAAAAGTAGTTTTAGTAATAACTATTCTTCTAAGTCTGGATATATTTGGTCTGTTATAACAGTGCCCAAATATATAATTTTGTGAACTTTTACAACTGGACTATAGTTAATTGAAGCTCTGCATTTGGATGTAGGTTACGAATAAAGACTTAAAATTTGGTGTTGTTTGAATTTATTTTAATGACCATTTAATCATCTACTTCGTGAATACAATTCTGTACCTCAGAATAAAAGTGTATTAAGTCCAATTTTAAGCAAAACGGGATTATCAATGAAATTGACTTAGAATTAAGTCCTCTTTCATATGCTACTAAAATCTAAGCCCTATCTCAAATAATAACAGAGATAGCTAATTTTAAACGATATTAAGTCCGTGTGTCTTCTGGGAGAAAAGAATACCAAATGTAATAGTACACTCTTTAGTTTAGCATTTTTGGTAATGACAATATGATGTCCAAGTTTATTTTTAAGTTGAAATTAAGTCCATACTTTCCTCTCACATTAATACGCAACACTGTGTTAAGTCCCTACGTTCCAACAAGCGGCCAAGGGAAAAACGGTTAGAACGGTGAATAGTCGTCCAGCGCGAGTAGAGGTGATAGCACTAATGACTGTATTAATGTTTTCTCACTGTCCAACTGTTTGCACATCTTTACCGACGATTTCTGACTAATAGTTTGAGTTTGACTGTTTGTAGGAACAGACTTTAGTTTAAATAGTAAAGTTTTCAGAGTAGTTTTTAACGTGATTTCAGTTTATTTTCATTTTAAAAATGAGTAGCAGATCACAGAGAATTATTTCATTAGTGAATAAAAATGAATATAAAAACATTCTCGGAGAAAATAACACAAATCATACAGGTAAGAAAATTTTAACCTAATACATTATTTATACATAATACCTTACTATGATACGCTTAGATTAGCTTCGAAACACAAATTGAACTATATAAGAGGTAGTTACTTAACAATATCGTTGCCTCACATGTTAGATTTAAATTAGTTGACCTAAAATACATCGTAATATTTTTCTTAACGAGGATATTATGTCCACAATATTAAGCATCCAGGCATCAAAGTTTGGACTTAATACAGTATTTTTTAAGTCCAAGCGTCCAATTCTGGACTTAATACAGTATTTTTTAAAAGAGTACTGGACTTTCATTCCATCAAAAGAATTGAAAAAACCAAAACATTTTTACAGAATGATATTATCTTTTCTTTTTATTCTCATAATATTTATTGGTATTAAAACTTCAGACTGGCTAGCACGTGAATACTGTGTTCATTACAATTTCGTTGAAGTTTGTAGTAGTAAATAATTTACAGTTCTTACAACAATTTACTTTAAAGATTTGATTACAATTATTATTATAAACAAGAGATAAAATGTATTCGTTATTTTAGACATTACAAAGACGGAAGAACAGATTAATCGTACCTATAATGAAACAGAAAGAAAAAACTCAATAAATATTGCCGACAGGAATGTGGAAAAGACTGGAATATTAATATACATAAAATAATTAATGGAAGGAAAGGGTAACACTTATAAGGGGGAAACAAAATTTGAAGAAGACACTGACGATAGTACAGCGGACCCCAACTATGACAGCGAGAGCGATTGTTCTGCAGACTCTGATATAATGAATGAGACGATAAATGCAAAACGAATAGGTAGGAAAAGACAAAGACAAATAGAGAATTGGAAAATAAGTAAACAACACAAAAAAGTTGTTGCCGGACTAGAACACACATCCAAGACGAAACTTATACCTGAAAAATTAATAAAACCACCGTGTAGTTTGGTGTGCCG